CCAGGTACTGCTTGAACCGCTGTGAGGTGTATTCTCCTCCTCCGTCTGACTGGAAGCTTTTCAGCTTCACTTCCGACTCTCTTTCTGCTACTGGTAGCCAGGCAACGAAGGCTTCGAAGGCCATGTCACGGCTTGGAAGATTGAGATGCCAGATGTAGCGTGTGGCGGCGTCGATGAAGGTGATGGTAAAATTGTATGCTCCTTGTCCTGGTTCCCGATTGTACAGAATGTCGCTGTACACCTTCTCAAGTGGTGCGTAAGCAGGTGCGCTCGGGTTGTGGTGAGAGACGAACGACCGATATGGTAAGTCGGCTTCGGGGCAGGTAAAGCACGTTCCTCGTGCTTGTTGAAGTTCTTTGCCATCGGGTAGGAGTAACGAGTCTTTGTCGAGTACGCCTGCTCTGATTGTGTTGTTTAATACCGTGTTGCTTGAGTGTCCCATTCGTGCGTGCCTGATATCTTCGGAGGCGCGGTGTCCGGGTGAACGGCGATATGTGTCGGAGTTGGAGTAGAAGCCGGCGGTGAAGTTGGCGCTTCTATGGACTTCTCGTGGAGTCGGATTCAACTGCTGCGCGGGTGTCGGTGGTGAATCGTCGACGAGGACTGGTGCCGTTGAAGGACCAGCGATCGGTGTCGATGTTGCTGCTGCTACTACCGTTGTCTCTACTGCTGCCGACGTTGTCTTTGCTGTTGTCGTTGTTGTCTCTGCTGCTGCCGATGTTGTCTCTGCTGCTGCCGTTGTTGTCTCTGCTGCTGCCGTTGTTGTCTCTGCTGCTGCCGAATGTTGAATTGTTACTAATGCTCGTGTTCGTTCTGCTTCAGGGATGGTGTGTGAATACCAGAAACCTTCGGGGCTGAAGTCAGGGTCGAGATCCGGCGGGTGCGTCCAGGAGGTGAAGGTGACAATCCCGTCGCTGTCGGCGGTGCCGAGATCTGGAACGAAGTCGAGGACGAAGACATTGTTCTTCAACACAGCTTTACCGATGTAGAGGCCGCCTCTCCCGTGGTACAGCTTGAATTCTTGTGTCGTGCTATCTGCTTCGAGGTGGATCCCCTTCGCCATCAGCTGGCTCAGACTCAGTAAGTTGTAGCCGAGTCCTTCTGCAATTAGGACTTTTGACATCTGCAGTATCACATTTGTTTCCCTTGACTGAAGTTGTACCACGCCTTGTCTTCGTGTGCGCAGGTTTTGATTGTTGGCGACGGTGATGACGACCTCCCGTTGAAGCTGGTATTCTCGTTGAACGAAGCGACCAGAGGAGCACATGTGCTGCCCATAGCAACTGTCCAAGAACCAAGTGTCCTTCCCGGACGGCTCGCTTTGAGCGATGGCTGCATACGTCGGGTTCGGTTGAAGTGACTCGCGACGAGGAGTGCTGTTGTCGAGGTGCTCTTCCGGTGAGTAATGTGGTGGTGACTCGGTGACGCAAGAGTCAGTTAACTTTGCCATGCAGCTAACGATGTTTCTTCCTCCTTGTGCAGGTTGTGTTGACGATGTCGTTGAAGGCTGCAGTTGACTCGTGGGGTGCGCTTGTGTGGACGCCACTTGACTGCTTGAAGGACGGAGTTGGCGTTGCGGCGACGTTGACTGCTGTCGATTCGGGCAGTGTGTACGAGGGTGCCCTGAAGACTTGTAGAGATGACAAAACGGAGGTACGATTTTCGTTTGATGCCGATTGTTGCTGTTGTTGTAGCGCCGTTGAGTATGAAACGCGAATTCAGGTATTGATGTCTTCTTCTTGTGTCGTTTTTCTTGCAGGTCCATGTCTTGCTGCTCGGCGTGAATTTTGGCGCAAAGTTCTGCTTCGGATTTTTTTCCGTGAGCTCGGAGTATGGCGCGAGTGGAGCGCCAGTGAGGACCAAGGCCGCCGATGACGACTGTGACGAAGGCGTCTTCTGATATTGACCCTCCGCATCGAAGAAGCTTGTCGCGCAGCTCGCGGCAGCGACTGATATACGCCATTCCTTTTTCGCCCGGTTTCATTTCGACTGTTGTCAGTTGCGCCATTAACCGACTTTGGTTGACGCTGTCTGTTACTTGATACAGGTTCTTCAGGTGATTGTACGCGAGCTCGGCGAAGTTGCTGTGAAAATGTAGGCATGAGTAGGAGCCATAGCTAGGTAAGCCCTAGCTAGGCAAGAGAGAATAAGCAAAGGAGGATGTTCACTAGAAAGCAGCAGGATACATATAGGAAACCCTAGGGGGTTGTACTCGCTATAGAGTACCCCACTGCAGGCTAGAGAACAATAACATTCTGACACACCCCCATAGTCAAAGTGGGGTATAATCAGCAGAGCAAGTAGTCCTAGAGCAGGTTCACATGCACAAGTAAAGCTAGGGGCAGTCGCAGAGGGCAAGTGAGGAGGAGGAGGAACTGTGGAAGGAGAGAAGATGGGAGGCAAAGACTGAAGCTGCAGAGGCACGGGCACAGGAGCGGCTGACTCAGTGGCTACCGAAGCAAGGGCGACGGACTACTGGAGTAACTGGCTCCGCGGCTATAGACGAGCGGCAGGAACAACGGACCCACTGGCGACTGGTGCAACAGGCTCACTGGCTACCGAAGCAAGGGCGACGGACTACAGGCGCTGCAGGCGACACGATCGCTACCTCCACACAACCTCCTCCAACTGCCCCACACCCTCGACACACACCCCCTGCTGAACCCCTAACTCCACTCCTACAGCACCCCCCTTAAACCCTAAACCCTAGGCTCCCACACACCCACCCCCCTCAGCGGCAGCTGCAGCAGTGGGAGACCAGGGAGGAGGAGCAAGGGGAGTAACACACAACCGCCACCCCCACACTCCTCACCCCCAAACCCTAATTCAGGAGAACGGGCAGCAGTAGGGGTGGGGCACCGTCAGAAGCACGGGGGACAGCGAGCAGCTCAGGGACAGAGAGGAACGGGCCGCCCACGGGCCTGGCACAGCCCGACGAACCGCGCGCAGGCGGCCCGAGCCGCGCGCGGGCCTGGCGCAGCCCGTACGGGCCGCGCGCGGGCCTGGCGCAGCCCGTACGGGCCGCGCGCGGGCCTGGCGCAGCCCGTACGGGCCGCGCGCGGGCCGGGCGCAGCCCATACGGGCCGCGCTCGGGGCTGGCGCAGCCCGCGCTGGCCAGGACGGGCGACGGGGGACGACGGGCTGGTCCCCGTCGCCCGTCGAAGCGCCCCCCGGGGGCGACGCGCGGACCGACGGGGCAGAAGGCCGCCGCGCGCCTCGGGGCGCACGGCGGGCAGAGAACCGCCGCACGCCCCGGGGCGCACGGCGGGCAGAAAACCGCCGCGCGCCTCGGGGCGCACGGCGGGCAGAAAACCGCCGCACGCTCCGAGCGCGCGGCGGGAAGAGAAATCCGTCGCACGCCACGGGGCGTGCAACACACAGAGTAGCAGCGGAAGCAGCAGTAGGGCCCACAGGCCAGGAGCGTGAGTGCTCTGAAACCATGTTAGAATCGTAGGCATGAGTAGGAGCCATAGCTAGGTAAGCCCTAGCTAGGCAAGAGAGAATAAGCAAAGGAGGATGTTCACTAGAAAGCAGCAGGATACATATAGGAAACCCTAGGGGGTTGTACTCGCTATAGAGTACCCCACTGCAGGCTAGAGAACAATAACATTCTGACAGTTGCCGTATCCTCGGTAAGACCGAATATTCTGCTGCTGATTTGGTGTGATATTCCTCAGTACGATTGTATACGCCATCATTGACTGGTACGTATACTGCTGCTTGTCGTACTGTGTCCCGTGTGTTGGATATGGCAGGGACCCGTCGAAGAAGCCAAGGATCTGCGCGCCTTCCATCATCAGCTCGAACTCGAATGACCAGGTAAAGAAGTCTTTTCCGTCAAACGGTCTTGACGTCTGCAATTTCAAAACGTGCGCGAATTGCGACTGTACTTGAAGTGCGTCCAGTGTCTTCTCTTGTTCAGATGCAGGTTGCTGGCGCGGCATGAAGCTGACGGAACCGCATTGCGGTTCATACGGGGCAAAGGTAGGCTGTTGTTGCTGATTTCCTCGTGCGTAAGATGAACCGTCGAGGCTCATCGGCGTAACGTTGTTGTTGTTGTTGCTATTGTTTGATTGCGCAGGTGCCCCTTGTTGGTGTTGCTCGTAGAAGGACATGAAGGAGAAAAATTTCTCCATCATACTTGGATCGAAGCCCGCGCCTTGATTTGCGGGGGCTTCGGTAGACCCAGCCGCCGGTCTTGTTGTTGTGCCCTCCTCTGTCTGTAGGCCAGAGGCAGGAGGTGGAGTAGGAGTAGTACCAGGGGAGCCGTTGGAGGAGCTTCTCTCCTTCCGAGTAGCCATGTCTTCTGATGTTGCAGGTATTTAATAGTTGAATCTTATCCTGACTGCTCTCATACCATGTTGGGCTGAGAAAAGCCCTTAGGATCTTTACAGGACTAAGTTCAACGTAGGAACGATGTAATAGCGGAAGCGTTTAATGATAACTTTGTGAACCACCTTGCGCTGGTATGTGAGGGCAAAGTAGATTGATTAAAACAGAGAAGTACAAGGTTTTATATAAGAGTACAAGGAATACGAAAAGATATGGTTAATAACTGTTTTACTGCTGCTGTTGCGGTTCGATACAGTGACGACTCGGGCAACTGCTCAATAACGAGTCAGTTGTGTGTCCTTGCTGTCGCGCTGTATTTTGTCAGGTCAAAGGTCGCTGACCTTTGACTTTCGCGTAACCTCCAGCTGTTCAACTTCCGAGGGTTGACTTGCCGATGCTTCGCTGTTCCTTGCTTCGTTTGCAGCTTAGTGTTTTGACACGACAGAGGCACTAAATTACTTGTTCCCAACAGGCGACTGCTACATCTAAGACTGGCTATTCACCATTCACACAAATACATCACAACAATAGCAAACATTTACAAATTGCAGTAACTATTGACGAGGTGATGTATTTTTCTAACTACTAAACACTCCTTTAGTCTACAGTGACGAACCAATGAAATGATAGTTCTATAATACACATTTCCAGCAATAGCAACAAGTCGATCACGTAAAGTTGCCATCACCGATGCGGGCTATTTCTTCCTCCAAGCTTGTAACCATCACGAACGCCATCTTCCTTTCTTCTTCTTCCTCATCCACCTTCACCGCCGCACTCACCTCCTCCTCCCCTGCTAACTCTTTCCTAATCGCCTGCAGCTCATTGGCAATGTCACCCATGGTTGGCCGGCTCGCAGTGCGACCCACCGTGCAGCTCACTGCGAGCTGGGTCAGCCGCAGCAGCACATCCTCTGAAGCGACCAGGTTGGGGTCCTTCAAGTCTGCCAGGTTCCCCTCAGACAGACACTCGTTTACCTAGGAAAGTGCAGGAGGTTGGAAAGGGAGTGGGGGAGTTGGAAGTGAGGAACACAAGGCGCACGAGCAAGGGAGGTGTGTGGTGAGTGGCCGGCCCTCAAGCAGAGCAAGGCCTTTCAGATTGATGTCATTGAAATCGAGAGGGCATATATTCAAGGTAGCGAGCGGGGAACCAGTGGTGATGAAGCTTGGCACCTGGTGGGTGGTGGCGGTGGTGGCGGTGCTTACCCAATGTAGGATGTGCCTCCTTCTTCCCGGATTCTCTTCTATTGGAGCACGTCCAGTGAGCACCACTAGAATAAGAATCCCAAAGCTGAAGCCAGGGAGAGCGAGAGAGAAAGAGAGAGAGAGAGAGAGAGAGAGAGAGAGAGAGAGAGAGAGAGAGAGAGAGAGAGAGAGAGAGAGAGAGAGAGAGAGAGAGAGAGAGAGAGAGAGAGAGGTGCTGCTGAGGTCATCATGGCAGGGAAGCCTTGAGCAGCGCTACAACGGTCCTCATGCCGTGCTTGTGATGTGGAAAAAATACGCACTTGCCTTACACCAACCACCTTGATCTTATGACGCCTACACCCTCCAAATCAATGATTGACAAACAACGATAAATGCATGCCAATGTGCACTATTAACAACAAATGGTCAAACAAACAAGCCAACAGCACTCAAAAATGTAAACAAGCACGAGGTAATAATCTGGCTTGTTGTGTACATCCACTCATCCTCCCTCAAGTACCTGTAAACATCAGTGGCCGTGGTGGCCTTTGATGTTCTGAAGTAAACTGGGTCCACATAGCCCGGTGTTCCCACCACCCGAGTAGATAGCACTGTCGCGCCCTCTCCCTCCCTTATCAATCCAAAATCCGCAACCTTGGCCTGGGGATTGAAGAGATATAACAAGGGTGAACGGCGAAGGTGATTTTACAAGTTGCGGAATAAAAAGGGAGGGGGGAATACATCATCCAACATTGCATGTACTATAGGGGGTCAGTAGCGCATCCAACTCACAAAACAATATATTAGAGTAGACGTTAGCAAGTGCCGAACCTGAACTGGTTCGGTATGAGCCTGGTCAAAACCAAGCCAGACCAGTTTAACTCGAACCGAAATGGAGAGGGCTGAGACCAAGGTGCAACTGCACGTTGTAAGATTTGCAATAGTTGGAGTCAGGCTGATTGCAGTTTGACTCAAACCAGTTCGATTTAAATCGACCATCCATTTCGCTCGTGTCACATGGATTTTCCCTGGCACAACGATGGTGAGGATCTGTAAAAGTAAGGAAGGCTGCGAAATCAGGTAAGGAGGAACTTGGAGCTTGAAAACGAACTTGAAAACGAACTTGAAAACGAACTTGAAAACGAACGATAACTTCGGATAATTCCCCTTCCTGTCCAGCCCGTGGGTTTCCACATGGAACCCCTTTCGTTTTAATGCGATCGAAAAAGCGTCGAACCAGATCGGTTCCATGAGCTCGGCATCTAATCGTCAAACCAAGTGAACGAATCATTTTCAACCACACATATGCACGCACGCACACTCGCACGCACACACGCATGCACACATCCACACTCGCACCCACGCACGCTCACACGCACACACACGCATGCACCCACACACGCATGCACACACGGGCATGCACACACACACTTTGAGACTGTGCTCAAGTTTAAGATTATGTATGTGTTTGTCACTAAGTGAAGACATATCACAAGATGTTTCGTTCCAATTCATAGGAGAAAGGTCATCCACCGAAGTGTTGGAATCTACTTGCAGTTACACAGGAAAAACAGGGACCTGGGCAACTGAAGGAAGTTTGTTTCAACCGACTAAGAATTGACTCATTACCCGTCACTGGTTTCTTGTTCAGAGCTTGCCTGCACGTCTGCACAGATAAGGATGTGGGCGGGTTTGATGACGCTATGCGCGCTGTGTTAGTCGACTGTTGACAAGCCAAATGTGGCTGTAACACAATAGAGAAGTTGTTTTTATCAATTTCTTTTGATTTGTCTTGTTGTGAGCTTGCCTGCATGTGGGCGCTGATGAGGATGTTGGCGGGTTTGATGTGATCATACTCACTCTGTTCCATTCTACTCATAGTGGAGTTACCAGATGTGATTTCACTATGCTCGTTCCTCTTGCAGGGAGGGAGCTTGCCTGCATGTGGGCGCTGATGAGGATGTTGGCGAGTTTGATGTCGCGATGCACGAAGCCAAAGCTGTGTAGGTACTCCAACCCACGCGCCGCCCCAATCAGGATGCTCAGCAGTTGTGGCAGGGTCAGTGAGAATGGTGCCTCTGCAGGAGGGAGGCAGCATTAGGCACATGGCATTAGGCACATGGCATTATGCACATGGCATTATGCACATGGCATTATGCACATGGCATTATGCACATGGCATTATGCACAGCACATGGCAGTAGGGACGTGACACCATGGCCATGTCATTCAGCACACAGTTAGGGAATGTGGTAATGCTACGCACATGGGCTTCGGGTGCAAACTCACTTGTTGGGTCCAGCCACTTCTCGAGGTCACCGTTGGACACAAACTCGTAGATGAGCACTTGCTCTGGGCGTGTCTTCGTGTCCCCACCCACAGCAAACCCAAGCAGCCGCACGATGTTGGGATGGTTCTTGTCGGCCATTTGCTGGACCTGAGGGGCGTTGAGAAGCGCAAACAATGGGCATACGGCACAACAATGGGCATCTTAAGCGTATAACAAGGTTCCAGCAGCACCGCACATCAACGCTGGACCTGAGGGGCGTTGAGAAGCGCAAACAACACAACACAACAGTGGCCATCTTACGCTTATGGGAAGTATGCAGCAGCACCCCACAAGAAACGATGATATGGGTCCGCTAAGCAGAGTACATGGTTGAGATTAAATATATGTGGACACGGCGGGTTTGCATGTCTGCATAGCACATGCATAAGTGTTTTGAGACGTCTCAAAACACTTCTTCATACACGTACATGTGGACACGGCGGGTTTGCATGTCTGCATAGCACATGTGTAAGAAAATACAGATGTGGACCGGACAGGCATAAGCACCCCTTGAACCATTTCGCCTACAAACCCAACATCTATCAGCGTGGCTTCACCTCCCGCTGGAAGTCAACATCAACCAGCTTGGCGTGCTTCACAGCCCACTCAACAGCGCCATGCCATGCATGCATATGTTTAGAACAAACGTGGACACACGCACCATAAGCCGCTTCTTCAGCCACCCACTCACCTCCCGCTGGAAGTCCACGTCGATCAGCTTGGCGCGCTTCACAGCCCACTCAGTGACACCATTGCGCGGAGACACCCCCTTGTACACGTCGCCAAAGGCCCCCGACCCCAGCTGGTTCTCCTCGGACCAGTTGCTGGTGGCCGCTTCAACCTCAGCGAGAGAAAACTCGACGCTCTTTAATCCTGCCAAACTGCCAGCCATGGCTGCTTGTGGGTTGAGGGGTGAGTGTGGGTGACGGTTAGGGGTGAGGGAGGGAGATGATGATGGTTGATTGGTGAGGATAATCGGGCAATGGGTCAATGACCGAGAGGCACACACAGGATGCGGTAAAATCTCTGCACGGCATTTACACACAGAATGTCGCCTTGGTTAGCAGGAAACAGAAGCCGACCAGGAAACAGAAGCCGACCAGGAAACAGAAGCCGACCAGGAAACAGAAGCCGACCAGGAAACAGAAGCAGACCAGGAAACAGAAGCCGACCAGGAAACAGAAGCCGACCAGGAAACAAAAGCCGACCAGGAAACAGAAGCTGACCAGGAAACAGAAGCCGACCAGGAAACAGAAGCCGACCAGGAAACAGAAGCCGACCAGGAAACAGAAGCCGACCAGGAAACAGAAGCCGACCAGGAAACAGAAGCCGACCAGGAAACAGAAGCCGACCAGGAAACAGAAGCCGACCAGGAAACAGAAGCCGGCTAAGAAAAACGTGATCTTCCTTGCCACCTGTTGATTTATGAATCGACTCAAAAACCACGAAAGAATTGACTAAGTAACAACACATTCGCTCCCACCTGGTGGCGTCTGCTGCTGCTTGTGCCTGAGGTAGAGCAGCACAGCAGCCAGCAGCAGCAGCACCACCACAGCAGCAACAACGACGCCAATTATTGCGGCCAGCAGAATGTTACTACCCCTTCCAGAAGCTGCTGTCTCCGACTCGCTGCTGCTGCTGCTGCTGCTGCTGCTGCTGCTTTGCCTCATCTCATGTCCACGCTGATTACCCCTCTGGGGGTCCTGTCCTTGCTCGCTTCTCCACTGTCTTACCGTGTCCGGCAGCCCCCTCTGGCACCCTGTCAGGTCTTTACCTCCCCTCGTTCTCTACGAACCTTGTGAGTGGTGCTGATCTACAGGATCGGGGGGTTGACCAGTTCACTCCTGCGAGTCAGCGGGTGACCCACTGCACGTGTGCTCGGACGGGCCGACACTTGGCCACGTTTACCCGTCGACCGGGGTCGAGCCTGTACACACTGACCACTGAGTCTCCTCCGGTTGCTGAGTCTGGTCAGGTAGCTGCGTCGAGTCAGGTGTTTGCTGCAGCGTCCAGGTCTGGTCCTGAGTCTGCTCCCTGCTCGTGTCGTCTCCTGTCCCACCAGACTCACCTTTGGCACCACCGCCTTGGTCACCCCTCCCTGCCTCGTCTCCGAGGCATGGCCTCCCATGTCCTTGTCTCTGGTCTCCCCCGGTCCCTCCCTCCCCTCCCTCCGGGGCCTGCCCCTACCTGCGTTCCCTGCGTCGAGGGGCGGCAGCGCGCCACCCCTCACTCCTCCGAGTTTCCTCCGACAAAGGCTCCCCTGCAGACTCTTCACATGGACGTGTGGGGCCCCGCCCGCGTCCGTGGCCAGGGTCACGAGCGTTACTTCCTGTTGGTGGTTGACGACTACTCGCGTTACACCACGGTGTTCCCCTTGCGCAGCAAGGGTGACGTCACTGAGGTGTTGATCGACTGGATCCGCGCAGCTCGTCTCCAGCTCAGAGAGAGTTTCGGCTCGGACTTTCCTGTTCTGCGTCTGCACTCTGACAGAGGCGGGGAGTTTTCCTCTGCCCGTCTGGGAGCCTTCTGTCGTGCACAGGGCATCCGCCAGACCTTCACGCTTCCGGCCTCTCCACAGCAAAATGGGATTGCTGAGCGCCGCATTGGCATGGTCATGGACGTCGCTCGTACGTCCATGATCCATGCGGCTGCTCCCCATTTTCTGTGGCCGTTTGCGGTTCAGTACGCAGCGCATCAGCTCAACCTTCAGCCCCGGGTCTCCTTGCCAGAGACCTCCCCCACCTTGCGGTGGACGGGGAAGGTTGGCGATGCGTCTGCGTTTCGGGTCTGGGGATCGCGGGGGTTTGTCCGCGACTTGTCTGCGGACAAGCTGTCCCCCCGTGCTGTTCCCTGCGTCTTCCTTGGCTTCCCCCCTGACGCGCCTGGTTGGCAGTTTTACCACCCCACCTCGCGCCGTGTTCTGTCCTCCCAGGACGTCACCTTTGACGAGTCGGTGCCTTACTACCGTCTCTTCCCCTACCGCACTGCGCCCCTCCCCCCCCCGCCGCTCTTCCTTGCGCCAGGTCCTCCCCCGGTAGACCCTCTCCCCCCTCAGGGTCCTGCCCCGTCAGGTGTGTCCCAGGTAGACGCAGTCGAGCCTGCCGAGGTAGCTGTTGACTCTGGTGCTGCTAGGGGTGCTGAGCCTGGGGGTGCTGAGTCTGGGGGTGCTGAGTCTGGGGGTGCGGAGCCTGGGGGTGCTGAGCCTGGGGGTGCTGAGTCTGGGGGTGCTGAGCCTGGGAGTGCAGAGTTTGGGGTTGCGGAGCCTGGGGGTGCTGGGTCTGCTCGTGTGGCCTCTGGCGGTGCTTCGTCGAGGCGGGAGCTACTCTCTCCGCAGGAGCTGCGCGAGTGGTTTGCCCGGCGCTGGAGCCGTGCTGCTGGAGCTGGAGGTACTACTGTTGCTGCTGGTCCTGGAGGTGCTCGTACTAGTGGTACTGGAGCTGCTGGGACTGGGGGTGCTGCTGGGGCTGCTGGAGTTAGTCCTGCTGGAGGTACTGCTGGAGCTGCTGGCGGTACTGGAGCTGACGGTCCTGCTGGAGTTGGTGCTGCTGGAGCTGCTGGAGCTGGAGCTGCTGGGGGTGTTGGCGCTGGTGGTGCTGCTGGCGCTGGTGCTTCTGAGGGTGCTGGAGTTGGCGCTGTTGGAGCTGGAGGTGCTGCTGGCGCTGGTGCTGCCGCTGGGGGTACTGGTGCTGTCCCTGCTGGTTCTGGAGGCGCTGCGCGGCCGAGGCCGTACTTCGTTCCGCTCCTTGAGCAGGTTCTTGGTCTCCCGACCTCTACTTGTCCTGCTCCTCCCTTAGAGGGTCCACAGCCTGTCCAGTCGCGGTCACAGTTACAGCCCGCCCCCCCCCCACCTGCTCCTTCTCCCTACACTGGTCCTACTGGAGGTCTTACTGAGCGTCGTGAGCCTGCGTCTCGTCCTGCGTCGCCTGTTCGTGCTGCTCGCACTAGTGGTCGTGCTCCGCGTCCGCGTCCTCCTGCGGTCCCAGGCACATACCAGATAGCACTGCGTCCGTCCACTGCTCCTCTGCGTGTCCCGTTGCCGTCTCCTCCAGAGTCCTCTCTTCCTGTCCTTGCTGACCCGGAGTCTGACTCTCTTCGTGCTACCAGTTCTACTGTCACGCGTCTTCTGGCTATTGTTGTCACTGACCCTTCCTTTGAGTCCACTGCTGCGTCTGCCTTAGTTGCTGAGCTTGTCGACTTTGCTGCTCGCTGTCGTCTAGACTACGCCGCTAGTCTTGTTAGTGAGTCTGATTCTGTCTGTCCTCCGTCCGTCGGGGGTGAGTGTGCTCTTAGCACGGACGTCCTTGAGGACAGGCAGGAGGAGTTCCAGTGTTTGCTGCTGCTTTGCCTCATCTCGTGTCCACGCTGATTGCCCCTGAGGGAGACCCGGATGCACCAGACATCCCGACTCCTCGATCGTACGCTGAGGCGATCTACCTACCGCTACCCCACGAATGTGCCTGTCACTGTACCTAGGACGTGCTGCACTGCGCGCACTGTCTGCCTGCTGTCTGCTGTCTACTGTCTGAACTGTCTGCTGCTGCTTCGCACTCAGACCTAATTTCCTAGCGCTGCCTCGCTTTTACCCCCGCGGGTCGTCCTCTCCTGCCCGAATCGAGCCTCGGCAGCCGAGTCGCGTCCCGCCCACGGCCCGCGTGGCCCGCGTCGAGCCCGCGCAGCGCGCGCGCGGCCCGCAGCTGCCCCGCGCAGCCCGCCCCGAGCCCGCGCGACGCGAGCGCGGCCCGCACCGAGCCCGCGCAGCGCGCGCGCGGCCCACCGCTGCCCCGCGCAGCCCGCCCCAAGCCCGCGCGGCGCGTCCGCGGCCCGCAGCGCGCTGCGCGCCGTCCGCGCAGCCCGCGCCGCGCCCTACCCGCCAGTGCGCGGCCCCAGGCAGCGGCGCGCGCCTCCCTACCGCTGCCACGACCCGCCCCGCCGCTGCCACGACCCGGCCCCGCCGCTGACACGACCCGGCCCCGCCGCTGACACGACCTGGCCCTGCCCTGCCGCTGACACGACCCGGCCCCGCCGCTGACACGACCCGGCCCCGCCCTGCCGCTGACTCGACCTGGCCCTTCGCTGTAGCCGCTGCCACGGCCCCGCTG